AATCTCACGACCCCAAGATCATGTCCTGAGTCAAAATCAAGAATTGGATGCTTAACCAACTGAGCCACCCAGACACCCCTCTTGTGGTGGTTTTGATGTGCATTTTCCTAATGACTAATAACATTGAACATCTTTTTTAGGTGCTTTTTGGCCATCTTCTTGGAGAAATGTCTGTTTGGGTCCTTTTCCCATTATTTAATTAGGTTATTTGTCTTTTTTTTTCCCTAAGTAACGCAGGGCCTGAACTCAGGACCCTGAGGTTAGGACCTGAGGTGAGTTCAAAGGTCAGATGCTTAACCAACTGAGCCACCCAGTCGTCCCTAGGTTGTTGGTCTCTTTTACTGTTGAGTTGTGGGTATGTTTTTTTAAAAATATTTTCTAGATATATTCTATCATTTATCAGGTATATGATTTGTAAACATTTTCTACCATTCTGTGGATTGTCTTTTCACTTTTTTGATAATGTCCTTTGGTACACAAAAGTTTTCCATTTTGATGAAATTCTACTTTTCTATTTTTTTTTCTTTTGTTATTTGAGTTTTGGTATCATCCCTAAGGTCACAAGCATTTACCTGTGCTTTATTCTAAGAATTTTATAGTTTTTGGCTCTTAGATCTGTGATCCATATTGAGTTTATTTTTATTTATGATGTGTGAATACAGTTTTACAGCTTTTCTTCATATGTCCTATCTTAAGGGGTTTCTCAGTCATTATATTTCAATATAGCGATGGGGCCAGAATTTCCCTAACTGTCCTTTTCTTGTTGGACCCTTAAGTACTTGTTATTTTTTCACTATTCTAAACAAAGCTACAACGAACACATTTTTGTTCACATTAGAGATTATTTTCTTACGATACAAGTTGAATTACATGGCCAAAAGTTATGAGTTTTTTCAAATTTAAGATAGCCTCTGATTTAAACTATTTTCTCTATTCTTGTCACTTATCAGTGCACTTGCTTAGTCTCCCAGCACTGAGTGTTGGTGTTAGTGATGGTTTGTAGATTCAGAAGAAATAGTTACTCTTTGTTTTCATGCAATTCGTGGTGCTAACATACAGATGCCTAACGTAAAGGGGTAACTGCCAGATTTTTTTAAAAAGGCAAAGCAATCTGAAACTTTTTTTAGAGTAACATATGCTTCCTTTAGGTATATGCTCAAGAGAATTGAAACTTTTCTTATGCTCATACAAACACTTGTACATGAATGTTCATGGCAGCACTATTGACAATAGCCAAAAAGTAGAAACAACCCAAAAGTCTTTTAATAGACAAATGGAAATACTGACACATAACACAGGATGATCCTCAGAAACACTATACAGACTGAAAGAGGCCAGACACAAAAGACCACATTTTGTACGAAATGTCCAGAATAGGCAATAGAGACATTAAGCGGGTCAGGAGTTGCCACGGATTCAAGGAAGGGGAGGAGTGGAAATGATAGCTAATAGATATGGGGCTTCCTTTGGAGAAAAAAAAAGTTCTGGGATTGGATGGTGGTGATGTTCGCACAATCTTGTGAACATACTGAAAATCACTCAATTATAAGTCACCTAACATGGTGAATTTGATGTTAATTATATTAAAATATAATTTTAAATATTAAGGGTTTTAGGAAATACCGAGTTTAGTTATAAATCATCCTTACTCTTCAGATAATTTGCCTACCAGAAAAAGGAGAGTGAGAAATATATGCTTATTAAAGCTCAAACAGAATAAAATATTTTTTAAAAGATTTTTTAATTTATTTGACAGAGAGAGAAGTCCCAAGTAGGCAGAGAGGCAGGCAGAGAGAGAGGGGAAGCAGGCTCCCTGCTGAGCAGAGAGCCTGATGCGGGCCTCCATCCCAGGACCCTGAGACCATGACCTGAGCTGAAGGCAGAGGCTTAATCCACTGAGGCACCCAGACGCCCCAGAGTAAAACATTTTAAAAGAACAATCTCTTCCTTCTTAATTACTCTAAATCCCTCTCCCCAGAGATATCCACTGTGTAATAGTTTGGGGTATATTTTTTGAGACTGTGCTCCAAGCATGCGCGCGTGCACACACACACACACACACACACACACACACGAGTTTTTATTGAGTGTTTCTCATCCAATCAGGGTTTATTCACACATTTAAAAAGGAGTTTTTTAAGCTCTCAGTTTCTCCAGAGCCTTGGGAAAGGATGAAAAATTGAATCAGACAGGTGCCTACGGTCTAATAGAGAAAGAAGCCTATACATGAGTATCACAATATGAGATAGGAGTGTGGTGGTACCAAGAGAGGTCCCAGTAATATTAAACCAGGTGCACGGTTTACAGTCATTAGCAGTTGAAGCCTGCAGGCCATCTCTTTCAGGACAAATCAGGAGTTGGGCTGGAATAAAGTATATATGGAATGAGAAATGCAGAAATTGTGGAATTTTCATCTTATAACTGAAAGCTTTCTCCTCCTGGGAAAGGAAACAGTTTAGTCTTAAATTTCAGAGTTCCTTCTCTGATGATTTGAAATGTCCAGCGAGGGCCCTAGAAAAGGCTTTGTGCAGGCAGACCCAGATGCAGATACACTACTGACTAAGGCCAGGTTCTCTTCCTAACAGTCAGACAGCTTGGCCGTCCTGGGGACCTTATTGTTCTGGAGGTGTTGGGATCCCATGTGGTTTAATTAGTAGGACTTAACTTGCTATATGAAGAATTTTTCTTTCCTGTATGGACTTGAAACCAACTGTCATCACAGCAAAAAAAAGGAATTCCTTTAAAATTGGAAAGTCGTTCGTTTCTTGGCAATTTTTTTGTTTGATTTAGCAGCCCCAGAGCTCATGGAATATGTCATTCGAGTTATTTAAAATCTAAACCCAAACTTGTAATTCTTTATGGCTTACGACAGCTGCAGAGCAGAAATGAGGAGTGTGGTCTGCTTGGCTCTGACAACAGGGCTCTTGCATAGAAGGCTGAGTGGTGCTCGCAGTTGCTTGCTGGGAAGACTTACTCTTTCATCACGGCAAATTAATCTGAGCAGTAACATCGCCCTCCAACCAGCAGGAGTCTGTGTCCTCCCATCAGCTTTTCCTAATGTGTTATTTACTGATAGGCCAGTGCTACAGGCAGTACTTGGAAAGCCTCATTGGAGTCTAGGGAAGAAGGCAGAAGCTCAGGGAGCCTGTGCCTTTGTAATTTGATGGACCCATTGTTTCCAGTTCCCAGAGGTATCCCAGAGAAGTACGATAGCAGGGACAGGGTCTTAACTTGTGATTAAAAGTTCTTTTTTACAGAACTTCTTAGCCCTGTGCTCCCACTTTTTTCTCACCTGAGAGTCGCTCCACTGAGAGGGGCACCGCCACAGTTCTGCTAACCCTTAAGTTCTAACAAGAGGTCCCACCTACTGAGCTTTCCCTACACGCCGGATGTTGCGTTGAGCTGTTCTATGTACGTATCTCTTGCTTCACACACAAGGTCTCATTTGATCCTCACGCAGCTCTGCATGGTGGGCATTCGGGAAGAGCTGAGGCTTGGAGAAGTAAAGCCATGAATGCAGGTGAGAGAGCCTGGACTCAAACCCAGGTTTGTCGCTTGTTAATGGTGACACCACCCTCACCATGGCCCACAGAAGGCTCCTCTTTCAGGCTCCTGCCGGTGCTCTGACCTCACGCCCCCGTTGTCCTCTCTTTCCCTCAGACTCACCAGGCTCATCCCAGCCTTTGCCCTGGGTCGCCTGCTGAGACTGCTCTTCCCAGATCGTCACCTGACTAGCTCCTCCTCCTTCTGGTCTCTGCTCACACACCACCTCCTTGAAGAGGCCTTGTCTGATCACCCTGTTAAAGAAGCATTTAGAGATACTGTTTTCAAAGATACATTGCTTTCTAAAAATAGCCTAATTTTTAAAAAAGATTTTATTTATTTATTTGACAGAGCAGAAGCAGGGGGAATGGTAGGCAAAGGGAGAGGGAGAAGCAGGCACCCTGTGAAGCAGGGAGCCTGTGGCAGGGCTTGATCCCAGGACCCTGAGATCATGATCAGAGCCAAAGGCAGACGCTTAACCTACTGAGCCACCCAGGTGCCCCAAAAATAGCCTAATTGTAAAAATAAACTATTTTACTTTAAGTTTATAGGGATTTTTTTTCCATATGAAGCAAAACAAGCCAAAGTTTGGAGTCTATAAATTTTAAATGCTTGCTTGGTTGTTAGACCATATAGTTTCTCAGCAGGATACCATAAAAATCACTGTCCTGCTAATGACTACCTTGACCTAATGCGTTGATCACAAGGCTTTCTTCATACACTGAGTCTTTATCTGGCAGCATAACAGCATCCAAGTATTTGGGCCAAAAATTAAGTAGTTTATATGAATGTGAGCTCAACGACATGTTTTAAAAGAGTGGGCAGAATCGGGTCCTGAGAACTAATCTTTTGCAAGGAGATTTTGTTATGCTTGTTGTAATGAAACTTACTTGGGAAGAGACTTCCGTCTGTAATCTAGAACACATAAGATAAGCTTTATAGTTTGTTCTTGAATTCCAACCCATCCAGCATTGTGATTTGTTCATATTTAGGGAGCATGTACGAAATGCCAGGCACCCAGATAGAGGAGGGGAAACAAGACAGACATGATTCTCTGCCATCATGAAATCTAGTGGGGACAAGACAAATAAATGGACAGTGGTGACCTTCTGATAAATACCTGGGACATACTGGGTGGGATGAAAACATGGAGCAGGACATCTGTCCCAAACTTAAGAGACAGGGAAGACTTCCCAGAAGAAGGGACTTCTAATCTGAGGGCTGAAGGATGAATGAGAGTTTTAGCCAGATTGGGATTGGGGTGGGGTGGCAGTAGGTTTCAGGAAGGTGGGAAATAGTACGAAGGCTGGGAGATAAGAGATGTGGTCCGTGTTGTCTCAGTTCTTGCTCATTAGATCAGATGCAGTTGGAGAGCCTCAGAAAAAGCAGATCAATGGGGAAAGGCATTGAGAATATGCTCAGAAATTACCTGTCTCTTTCTCATATCTGCTTAACAGAAAAAACTCGAATCTCCACCCCCATCCACCAATCCCTTCCTGGAAGATGAGCCAACACCGGAAATGGAGGAACTGGTGATGGAGAAAGGAGATTTAGATCAGGTAAGTCCAGTTTGCCTTTTCCCCGTGCCTCCTACCTCGTGTTTGCTTCTGAAAATGGGTCCACCCGCCTCTCCGTGTGGCCCTTTGGCCACTGACCTCATTCAGGGGATTACAACTTTGGTGGTCTTTATAGAAAGCGCTTATCTGAAGGTTCCTTTTGAAAACCGAGCCTTTCCTGCCTGCCTCATTCATCATCTCCTACGCCTGCCAGCCTCACTCTCGGTTAGGTTCTCATCGGGCCGGTGACGACACGAGAGAGACCCCAGGATCCCTAGTGGAGTTCTCAGCACCATTAGCAAGGAGAGGCCGCCACTCAGGGCAAGCTGAGCACTTGAGGTCTGGAAGGTGTTGGGGAGGCCTGGAAACATCAAGGTCACCACTAGCATATTTGGAGAGTTAATTCTCAGAGCACGCTAGCACTTTCATTTCCTTCGGATTTTCTGTCCCAACTCCAAATTTCCTCTCCCTTCATCCTATAGAATGGTGTTTTTTGTTTCACCGCCGTTTTATGACAGAGCGGTTAAAGCAATAAATCAGGCCTTTTCCTGTCTGGATTAGTGATCCTTCTTTTTAATTTTCTACACTTGGCTGCTCAAGCAGTTATTTCATAGTGTTGTTTTGCTCCAGACACCACCAAAAGGGAGGCTGGCTGGAAAGACCAGCCCGGGATCCCCATAGCCAAGCGCTTGCCCCTAACCCACATTCCTCGCCCGGTGAGGGTAGGTGTACAATCATGGCAGGAGCCACAACAGCATTTCCAGGAGCAGTTCTGAAGTGATGCAGTAAAATGTGTCTGGTCCACTGATTAAATAATTTTAATAGCACGGATACCTCACGTTTTTATGGGCTTTATAGTTTCATCGTCTTTTATGGGCTCTGTTTCATTTCGTCTTCCCAATGCCTGCCCCTCATTTTACAGGATTTTCTATGAGCTGCAGTATGTGCAGCTCAGAGAGGTTAAGTGATTTGCACAGGGTTAGAGAGTCCGGGCGTGGACGAGATAGAACTGGAAGCAAGATCTAGAAGTCAGAGACTAGAATTCCTTCCATGGAGCTCTTTTACTACACTGGGCTGTCTCAGTGGAAAGTGGAGGTCACAGAAACGAACCCCAGGTGAATGAATAAAACTGGAAGGATACCTACGGGCTATATCCCAGAGATCTGTGGGATTAGCTGTAATTGATTTGAAGCCATCATATCAGCTAGTGTGGGAGATAACAAAAGATTTCTTCTAACTGAAGAAGTGCATCTTTTGCATGTGGGAAGGAAGGACTGGGAAAGGAAGAGTCTGGGCGTTGAGCTCGTTCTTCTGGGTGTGTCTTTTACCCACACTCCATCACCTGCACCCTTTGAGTTTGCTTTGGGTTGTAGCGCCCTGTTCAGGGCCCTGTGGCTGTCATTATCCTTGTGCCACCATGAAAAGTTACCCCTTCAGCTAGTCATCCCGGATATCAATAAACTGGATTATGATAGAGGCCCCCGTTACTATGAAATTTGTTTACTGGATAAAATATGATTTGTCTCTCTCATGGAACTTTTTGTTCATCATGGAAGCTAGAGATTATTATTGTAAGGACCAAGACTGCTCCTTCTAAGGACACACAGAGCACAAATACAGGGGGTAAAGCAGAGGCAGACTCCTGTCCACCATTAACTGACCACGTGGTAGATTTTATACTCTCTAGACTTGCCTAGTGTTTTCCTCTTTAGAGAGAGCCCATAGTTTTCAGACTGTATTCCTTGGTGCCCCCATCACATGTCACTGTGGGGGTGTTGGGAGGAGACCAGGGCTCTGACTCTCTCCAAACAACAGTTCTGTTACAAGTCACTTTTATCATGGAATTCCAAGTAAAATTTCTTTGGAATCAGGGGTTTGAGATCCATTTAAAAAGAAAGTACCAAAAGCTTCTGGACTGTATGGCCCATCTGCAGCTTCACTGGCCATGGCTTGTTAGTGATGACACCCACATACTACCCCTAGCCTCCCGCAGCCTCCCCAGCACTTGTCTTGCTTGTGATTCCTCAGTGGGCTGCTCCAGGATCTCCCTCTTCCCAGCCACTTATTGGCTTCTGGAGTTGGGGGCCTTAGGAAGTTCACAGGAAGCTTGGGCTGGGTGGAGCCAGAGGTGTGGGAGAAGGCCCCCAGTGATTGTCTGGGGTTACCCAATCCATTGTGTCACCGCCACGGTAAGTAGACAGTTGACTCTCAAGGACAGGGTCTCTCCCCGCTTGCTCCTGCAGCGTGGGCTGTTGAGAAAAGAATGTGAGCTTGAAAAAATGTACTTAGTTTGAGCCACCAGTTGCCCATGCACTCCCAGTGATGAAAAAAAATGGTACCCAGAAGGGGACTGAGGGTGCTCGAAGAAAAAGGAAGAAGAAATAAGGAATTTCTGGTTGAAAAATGTATCCTTCTGGTGATCCAAGCAGTTAGATTTCATCTGTTTACATTGGATGGTAATAAAAGGAAGTGGGGCCAGCTGCAGAGCTCCTTACTGTGACAACAGTAACCTTCTATTATTCCCTCCAACTCCGGGAGGAAATAACCGAAACATCTGCGGCTCTTGGACTGAATTCATACACTCAGACAGGCAGCCCGAATGCTACTGCTAAATGGCTTCGTGTGTTCTCTACAGTATTCTCTCAGCAGAGACCTGCCCCTCTGGGGAGCCGGACAGTTCCTAGGGGGACGCCACTGTGAGCTGAAATTCCAGCACCTCTTATCTAATAAAGCAGCCACAGCCCAGAGGCAGCCCTGTGAGAAAAAAGCATTTTAAAAGGGAACGTGGGGCAACCTCCCATTGTTCCCCTTTTGCTGCCAGCTCACACTCAGAACGCTGCAAGGGACTGGGAACTGTGGTGTCAGGTCTTCTCCTCGCTTCCAGGAGTGGCTGGCATTAGTGGACAGAGGCGGGGCGGAGCGGTCACCTGCCTTTAGGGTTGGGACACCCACACTGTCTGATGATGCCGCTCCCTGAGGGCCAGGTTCTGAGTGCTCTGTGGTGCCTCATCGAGCACACAGTCTGCGGAAGACTGACCGAGGTGACTTTGTTCGAATAGCATGGAGCTGTTTTCTTTTATCACTTAGAATCTGTCTCTTATACATATTCTGAATGAGCTCCTCAGACTTCTCTAGACCCAGATTTTTATTGTATATCACTTTTGCACATATGTAAAAAGGAAAATAAGAGCCAAATAAATAGGTTAAGATATTGCTAAAACCACTTCACATTCAGAGTCCAATTCTCCTGTACCACTTAAAAAAAAAAACCAACTTTGTGTTTTGAAATAATTATAAACTCATAGGTAGTTGCAGAATGCAGAGAGGTCCCAGGTACCCATCTCCCAGCTTCCCCTGGTGGTGACAGCTACCATAACTATAGTGCGTTGTTAAGACTGTGAAATTGATTCTAAGCCCTATTTCACTCAGGCGCAAATGCCCATATTTTCCCACACGATGTCCGCTGGGCTAGCCAAAGTTTTGGTGACGTGCCATTGCTTGACTGCTCCACAACTGTTTCCGGGGTTATCTGCCAGGCCCTTGGCTCCCATCTCCCAAGCTTTTTATTGTTATTTTTTACTTTTTAAAAGGAAAATACCTAAATTAGAGAAGAGTTTTAAGTATATTACAAGAACTCTCAAATGTCCTTCACCTGGGTTTACCAGTTGTTAATATTTTGGTACATTTACTCTCTCATTTCCTTTTTTTTTTGCCCACATTCCTCCTCTCCCTCTCCCCCTGTCCACTTTTGCCCCTTCTCCTCTGTCTCTCTCTCTCTTTTGGAATAATTTATAAGTTAGCATATATCGTGTCCTTTAGCTCTAAATATGTATTTACGCCCTAGCAAGAAGGTCATTCACTTAAATTACCACAGATCAAAATCAGAAAATGTAATATCAGTACAGTATTACTATCTAATTTATGGAACTTAAATTTCATAATGTAGCCATTCTAAGGTGATAAACTAAAACATTGTTAGTAATTGGCAAATTGCACATAAATTAGTAAAGCCAAATACAAAATACTTTATTTTAAATATGTTGATTTAGGGATGAGCTGGATGCTCAGTGGGTTAAGCGTCTGCCTTTGACTATGGTCATGATCCCAGGGTCCTGGGATAGAGAGGGCTCCCTGCTCAGCGGGAAGCCTGCTTCTCCCTCTCCCACTCCCCCTGCTCGTGTTCCCTCTCTCTCCATGTCTCTTTCTATCAAATAAATAAAATATTTTTTAAAATAAATAAATAAATAAATGAGTTGGTATATTTATTTTAAGATTTTATTTATTTGTCAGAGAGAACACAAGCAGGGGGAATGGCAGGCAGAGAGAGAAGCAGGCTCCGCACCGAGCAAGGAGCCCAATGCAGGACTTGATCCCAGGATCCCGGGATCATGACCTGAGCCAAAGGCAGATGCTTAACAGACTAAGTCACCGAGGCATTCCTAAAATATGTTGATTTAAAAAATGAGAACATTCTGTATTATATAAACTCCCAATTTATAATTACCAGAAGCTGTCCGGTAGACGTGTGAATATTTTTGGCACAAGAAAAATATAAATAAAGAGGATAAATATTATAGGATTATTAATATTACTATATTAATTATATTAATATATTAATGATTATTACTCTATCAATAATTGTATTGATATTAAATATATTAAAGTATTATATCAATATAAGCCTTATGATGACTAATCTGGGCATTGTGGCTATAGTTTTCAGTTCTAAAATCAGAATATCTGGGGCGCCTGGGTGGCTCAGTGGGTTGAGCCTCTGCCTTCGGCTCAGGTCGTGATCCCAGGACCCTGAGATCGAGTCCTGCATTGGGCTCTCTGCTCAGCGGGGAGCCTGCTCCTCCTCTCTCTCTGCCTACCTCTCTGCCTACTTGTGATATCTCTCTGTCAAATAAATAAATAAAATCTTTAAAAAAAAAAAGAAATCCCAGTGAAGCCTTTAAAAAAATAATAATAAATAATAAAATCAGAATATCTGGTCATATATAAGTTAGACAAATCACATTTATCTATTCATTTAACGGTCACCTTATTGAAAAGAATGAAATAATAGATAACTGATTTGGAAAATAGAGAACAATTAGGTAAAGACCACCCCTACACAGCCATTGTACTAAATCATGGATCTGCCATTTTAAACTGTTGGGAGTGTGGGAGAAACTTCAGCGCATCTGTGAAATGAAGTGGAACTTTGGATCCAGCCAATTCAAACTTGGTGAACCCAGGCTGGGGAGTCTCTTGTGGACTCAGCCTCAGACCTGACTTTGGTGGTGGCTTCTGGCTGATAAGAAAAACAACCCAACTGTAATTTAGGGAATACCAGAGTTTCTAAAAATCTTGCAAAAAAACCCTAAAAACATGGAACTCTCCGAAGGGGATAAGAGAGAGAGCTAAATAGGAGATTGAATTTTTGGTGTTCATTTCCAGTTTTTACAGATGCTTTTAACCATTATAGTGTTTTATTTTTAAAAGTTACTAGAAGGGGGCGCCTGGGTGGCTCAGTGGGTTAAAGCCTCTGCCTTCGGCTCAGGTTATGATCCTAGGCTCCTGGGATAGAGCCCCACATCAGGCTCTCTGCTCGGCAGGGATCCTGCTTCACCCTCTCTCTCTGTCTGCCTCTCTGCCTACTTGTGATCTCTGTCAAATAAATAAATAAAATCTTAAAAAAAAAAAAAGTTACTAGAGGAAGAGAATCATTATTCTGTTTGTCATTAGGGGCTTAGTTTTTCCTATATTTTTAAAAGATATGAACAGTTCAACCCAACAGTTATGCTGTGGGTTATCAATTTATACCCAGATTATACTCTATATCAACACCAGCAAGGGCTAAGGGTCCTTTTGTTGGCATTTCACAATAAATAGAATTGACTTTTTTTAGAAATTGAAAGAGAAATCTAGGAGGATCTTCACTTTTTTTTTTTTTTTTAATTTTGAAAAGGAATTAGGGAGCAAACAGTTTTTAAATGCTTGCCTACCTAGATGGCCTGTATATTAGTAGTTTTAAAGTATCAACTGGGGACCAGTGCTGGCCGTTTTACAGTGGTCCATGGCAAAAAATAAAGACAAAACTGCCTGTCTGTCTATCTATCTATCTATGTATCTATCTGGCATAAGGTCACCAACTGTCTTTTCATAGGAAGGACTGCCCTCCTGCTGCTACAGTGTTTGGGTGTAAAATACTCTTAAGAACTGACAAGAACGGAAAGTGGCAAAACAAAAAGTTAGCAATGCTATGTTGGTCCTTTACCATTCTTTTTCCTGCATTTACTTGTCAGTGCAATTCAACAGTCTGGGAGCCATCGTGGCAAAGCAATGCTGTATCAGAAAGAGTTGTAGTTCAGGAGGTAGGAAGCTTCACCGTCTGCCTTTGGGCAGGCTACTAGAACCCTCTGAGCCTTCCTTTAGGTGTAATGTGGTAGTACTGATTTCTACACCAAGGGTTGTTGTGAGGAATAGATGAGCTGTTATGTTATATAAAGTGCTTGGTCTATAAAAACAATCACTAAATGAAGGCTGTGAAAAATCTATCACATGAGAGCACTTTAGAAATTCTAAAGCACTGTACAAATATAAGGTACTGGTATTAGCTAGGATTTAAATTTTTTAAAACATCAGTCGGATGATGAATAGCTTCCAGATCGAAAGTGCATGAGTTATCAGAGCAGCAGTAAATCTTTCACCATACAGGGCAAGTCAGTGACGCTAACAAAGCTGGCTCGTGCACAGACTGGCTTGAATCATAATGCAAGACACAGTCCCAGTTCACTTACATCAAGTGATACTTATCTGTGTCAGGAGTCAACTTTGAAGGGATGTATTCTTTGAAACTGCTTGAAAACATGCAAAGATGGCTCAAGCGTAGGTTTCTTTATTCTTTTCTCCCCCTCTTTACAGCCAAAGAAGCCGAAGGCCCCAGACAATCCATTTCATGGCATTGTTTCCAAGTGTTTCGAGCCTCATCTCTACGTGTATATTGAGTCCCAGGACAAGTGAGTGATGAACATTTTGCTGTTTTCTACTGCGTTTCTCCCTCCTCTGGTCATGATTGGGGCTCATAAGGGCATAAGCCCTTCCAGAGGCTGAAGGAGGGACTTGGCAGGCCTCCTATGACCCTGCCTGGAAACCTTCTAGGGTATTTTTGTATCTTATGAGTGTTATCCTTCATTGTATCCATAATCTTAGAGTTTGACTAACCTTAGAAGCCTGAGTTTGACTCTCATGTCCCAAATGGATCCCAACAACCCCTTCCTACTTGGGCACTGAGCTCTTATATAGCTACAAGGCTTGACCATGTCAGGCACTGGAAAATGGAGAAAGAAACTTAATCTTTAACATACATGTTTTCAAGTATACTTTGTTTAGGTTTTCATTTTAAAGTAATTTAGACTTACAAAAAAGTTATAAAAAATTCTCATAGATCCTTCCTCCAGAGAATGCTACCATTTTATACATAATCACAGTTATCAAAATCAGGAGGGTAACATTGTGCCATGAATGTCCACTTTCTGGCTCAAGATCCCATCATGCCTTTGGTTGTCAGGTCTCTTTAGTCTCCTTTAACCTTGAATATTTCCTCAGTCTTTTGTTTGTCTCTCATGACCTTGACACTTTACAGAGTGTTGACAAGTTATTTTCTACAGTGCCCTCAGTTTCAGTTTGTGTGATGTTTGCTCTTGATTTGATCTAGATTATGCATTGCAGGCAATTATTCCATTACAGGTGATTTTTTTTTTTAATTTTTTATTTGCTAGAGAGATCACAAGCAGGCAGGGAGGCAAGCAGAGAGAAGGGGGGGAAGCAGGCTCCCTGCTGAGCAGAGAGCCTGATGCGGGGTTCTATCCCAGGACCCTGATCATGACCCAAGCCGAAGGCAGAGGATTAACCCACTGAGCCACCCAGGCACCCCAATAGGTGATGTTCTGTCCCTCTGGGTACGTCATTTGGATGTGTCCCATTACTGGTGATGTTAACTTTGATCACTGGCTTAAGGTGCTTGCCAGCTAGCTTCCTCTGCTGTGAAGCTACTATTTTTCTCTTTGTAACTGGTAAGTATCTCGTGGGGGGATACTTTGGGACTGTGTGAATATCCTGTTTCTCCTCACACTTTGCCCACTCATTTTGACATCCCTTGATGATTTCTGCCTGAAGCAATTATTACTGTAGTGTTTGCCAAATGCTGATTTTCTGTTTCCATCGTTTCTCCTCTACTCTTTGATTGGAGTTCTTCTGTAAGGAAGCACTTCCTCCTCTCCCCCCATGTGTTCGTGTTTATGTCAGTGTGGACGGGTGGATTCTTATTTTCTTTTGTGGATTATCATCCATTTAATATATATACTTTTTTACAAACTCAGGAGTTCCTGAAAATTTTCACAAGTTTTTGCTGCCAAGTTTCCTCACAGTCAGAGGACTATCTTCAAGTTCCAATGTCCATTATTCATACAGAGGAGGAAGACCCCCTCCTCATCCCTGAGTCTGTCCACAGCCAGAGGATCTGTTAAGGCCCTTCCACACTGGAAGCCAGATTTTGGAAAGGTCAGGTTTTTGGAAGTGAGCTGGCCCTACTCTGAGACGAGGCCTCGTTGTCTGAAGAATGCACTTGGGAGAACCAGACAGTGGCTCACGCTGGGAGCACAATAGCGCCTGTGAGAAAGTTCTCTAAGGGAGTTCTCTGGGAAAGCATTTAGGCACTAAAGTTTAGTCCCCCCCCCCTTTTTTTTAATGCTTCTGTTGTGAGTTAGCAAATTCTTATTTCCAAATATGTTTCAGACATAAACCATGAGATTAAGAGACTATTTCCAGTGGAATCGCTACATAGAACATTATTATTATTCACCTATTTGATTTTGTAGATTATGTCTACTCTTTTGGTCCCCAATTACAAAATGTTTTGTTATTAAAGTCGTAGAAAATGAACTTTATAGAAGAGCCATCTGTGTTAATGAAAACAACCTCCTACCTGCCATCCCTCCCAAAAAAGAGTTACTTTCACGTTTTGCCTTGTAAAGCCAGTTTGCCTCATCCTCCCTATCCATTGGGCTTCTGTCCGAAGGCACACAGAAAGGCAGTAATTACTTACTGCTCTTCGCTTGTTTGGAACACCCTGTCTTCTTATTAAAAAGAACAAGAACCCTTTCCCTGGGGTGCCTGGGTGGCTCAGTCAGTTAAGGTCATGATCTCCAGGTCCTGAGATTGAGCCCCACTTTGGGCTTCCTGCTTGGCAGGGAGTCTGTTTCTCACTCTCTCCCCCTCCTCATCGCTTATTCTCTTTCTGTCGCTCAAATAAATAAATAAATTAAAAAAAAAAAAACAAACTTCTTTCTCAGGAAGTCAATAGGACACGTGCGGGGGCAGGTAGAAGAGCTGTTGTTTACCTATGAGATTAACAGGTCTTAGCGCAGCCCACCTGGATGACTATTTTTGGACAAAACCCCTTCTTCCCTCACCAACCCAAATTCTTATTTTTAGAGAGGTTTAAAAGCTGTTGGATCCCGACTTGAAAGTGCATATCTGAGATAACCACATACTTTTCCCAAACCTTCCTGGTCTAGAGAATCGTTTTTCTGAATTATCATAATTCCAGTCTCTACTCTTTTCACATGGCCTTGATTCATATAGAGTATGCTCATTTTTCGTGATACTTCGGGCAGAGAGCCAGACCTCCCTTCCTTAGGAACTCTCCATTTCTCTCTGAAAAATGAAGTGCTGGCCACTCAGCCTGCCGCTTGGCCTCACTAGGATGTTTCCACAGCCCCGGGGATGTAGCAGGAGCTACTCGGAGGAGAATTGCGTAGGTTGTACCGTTGTCGTTCCAGAATAAGCAGCAAAGACTTGAAGTAGAAAAGAGAGTTCAAGAAATCCATTCCCTCAACTTTTAAAGCAGAGAATCAGACAAAATAATGCCTAAAGCGGTGGCTATTAACCTTTTTTGAGTCACGGATCCCTTTGAGAGCCCAATGAAACTGTAGACTCTCTTGCCCCGCCCCCCAAAAAAAAAAATCACATAAACCCACACACTATCTTGAGTGCAATTTCAAGGGATTCTGCAAAGCCCTTCCTCCCTTTTGTCCAAGAATCTGAAGGGAAGAAACTCAGGTGGGGACTGTTTTGGTACTTATTTCATTCTTGTAGCTCTGACTCAAAAAATCTTCAGTGGAGGAAAATTTTAGACCATTCACAAACTCCCCAATGACAGAGACCCAACAGAGTGTAGTGGAAAGAGCGTGGGCCTGGATGCCGGACAGACCTGGATTTGAGTCAGAACTCTGTACTCACTAGCCTGGGACCTCAAGCATGGTACTTAACCTCTCGGAGTTGGCTTTGTCCTCTCTCCAGCACAGTTAGTAACGTTCCCCTCACAGGATTAGTGGCAAGGCTGAGAAGAGCAGACATGTTGGCACTTGGCACGAGTAGTCAGGAACCGTGCCTGGCCTGCTCTGCCCGTCTGATGCTCTTGTCCCAGACTTGTCAGTGGTTGGGTGTCCTGATCAGTGTTGCCAGCTTTCTGTTGGGCCTGACATGGCCCTCTCATCTCCCTAGCCTCCCACCTGCCCAAAGAAAGTTCTGGCAGCACCTGTGCCAGCCAAAAACCAAACAGCAGTGGGAGGACTGCAGAGCCGGGACCTAGGGAGGACGAAGGAAGTAGGAATATCCCCAAAGCCATCTCCTTAGCAGATTTGGCTGAGCTGTCCTTGTATGCTTTAAGCGGCTTTCTCAACTTTTGTTTATGTTCCAGAAGGAAGTTCATATACCTTTCCGTCTTGGGAATGCAGGGATTTTCTCTGGCTGACCCTTGGAGAAGAGATTTTTCTACATAGACACTCTTCAATTTGCAGGCAAGAGTGCCCCCATTACTCCTTGAGACTTCAGTGCGTGTTTCCTATAAATAAGCACGCGGTCCACCTCACTGTAGCACACCTGTCAACATCAGGAAGTTAACTTGATCCATTAGTACCATTTAATCTGTAGACTCCATTCCATTTCCCTGGTGGTCCCCGTCATGTCTTTTCTAGATCCAGGATCCGTGCCAGGACCACAGGGTCCATTTACTTGTCACATCTCTTTGGTCTCTTCAGTCCAGATAAACAACTCATTCTTTCTTTATCTTTCATGACCTTGAAATTTTTGAAGAGTACAGGCCAGCTCGTTTGTGGAATGTCCTTCTGTCTGGATTTAACTAATGTTTCCTCATGATCAATGATTTATGCAAAAGTGGGGCCGAGTGCTTCTCAGTAATTCACATCAGGAGCCGTGCAGTATCAGTTTGCCCTACAGCCTGTGGTGTTCATTTTTATTTTACTTTTTTTTTTTTTTAAATTTTATTTTTTATAAACATATATTTTTTTCCCCAGGGGTACAGGTCTGTGAATCGCCAGGTTTACACACTTCACAGCACTCACCATAGCAAATACCCTCCCCAATGTCCATAACCCCACCCCTCCTCTCCCAACCCCCCTCCCCCCAGCAACCCTCAGTTTGTTTTGTGAAATTAAGAGTCACTTATGGTTTATCTCCCTCCCAATCCCATCTTGCTTCATTTACTCTTCTCCTACCCCCTTAACCCCCCATGTTGCATCTCCTCTCCCTCATATCAGGGAGATCATATGATAGTTGTCTTTCTCTGATTGACTTATTTCGCTAAGCATGATACCCTCTAGTTCATATTTTACTTTTTTTTTTAAGATTTTATTTATTTATTTGACAGAGAGATCACAAGTAGGCTGAGAGGCAGGCAGAGAGAGGGGGAAGCAGGCTCCCCCCTGAGCAGAGAATCCGATGTGGGGCTCAATCCCAGGACCCTGAAATCATGACCTAAGCCGAAGGCAGAGGCTTAATCCACTGAGCCATCCAGGTGCCCCATTTATTTTACTTTCTTTAGTTGGAGTCTGCCAGGCTTCTCTCTTTATTAATAAGTAATTAATAACAATAACTGTCAGGAGAAACGTTGAAATCATACAGTCCTTTTCTCATCTTTCACTTCCCGCTGATACTT